CCCCAAAACCCCAAAACCCCAAAACCCCAAAACCCCGATCAGTGTTACATAATTGTAAATTTACTAATATTATTCTGGGTCCTTCACCGTATCAAAGACTCATCGTCCAGCACAATCTTTTTGGGAAATTTTAAGACTAGTCTATCATTCTCATTTTGTAGCTGAGACTTATCCTTCATCATTGTAAATCGTTCATTTTGCTGCCCCCTGATGCGGCCACCTTTGAATACTTTTACATGAGATGATTCCTTATTCATACTTTCAGAATTGGAAGCATTCGCGAAAGGATTATGGTCATCAGATTCATCAAAATCAAAATGGCCTGCTAGCCCAAGACCTTCATTTCATGGAAGAAGCATACTCTTCTTAGTATGGTACCGTAATAGAGTCTTATTCGGCTCATGACTTTGTACAGAGGCATCTCAGTCACTCATTTGAATACGCTTAGAGTCTTCTTCTTTGGAATTCTCGAAATTATTTTTAATTTTGCTATCTTCCTCTTCTATGTTGTTATCAAAAGTAAATTTTTCATAGAAATTTTTAAAATTTGAGCTTATCATTTCAACACCATAAAAATCTTTTGGTACTGAATTCTGCATTTTATCATTTGTGATAAATGGATGATTTAGAAGGGTTCTCACATTTGGCCTCCTTTTCGAATCTACATTGAGTCATCTTTGGAGAAAATCAGTCGCTTCATAAGTGATGTTAGGAGGAAACTGAGGTGGTTGCCTTGTCTTTGCAATTTTAAACAGAGCTGCGTAAATATTATCACATTCGGACCAAGGAGGGGATCCTTGTAACATTTCTATAACTACTCATCCTACGCTCCAAATATCTGAAAACCTATCATATTTAGATTCTCGGATTACTTCTGGAGCCATCCACTGAGCTGTACCGACCATTCTTTGCCTTTGCTTGCTGTGCTTTATAATCCTGTTGGATCCTCCAAAGTCAGCGAGTTTGCAAATTCCGTTATCATCCACAAGTACATTACTGCCCTTAATATCTCCATGAATCACATTATGGGCATGGAGGTAGTCTAGCCCTTTCAAAATATTCTTAATATATATCTTAGTTAAATTTTCATCAAAGCTACTTGTATTGATTCAGCATCGAACTAATGCTCCCTGAAGAGACGTATTCAAGGAAAATATTTAAAACTTTCCCGTCGTTTTGGTTCCCCAGGTATTTCACGATATTTGGGTGATCAAATGATCTTAAAAGTTTAATTTCCTTCTTCAATGCCGCAAGACGAATATCAACTTGGTCTTTGTCAGCAAATTTTAGAATAGGAACTTGTTTAATAGCAATTATTTTTCCGGTGTCAAGATCAAAACCCTGAAACACTTGTGCGTAAGTTCCTTTGCCTACTAGGTCACCAATTTGAAAGTTTTGGATCTCATTCTTTTCACTTATAAAGTCTCGGTTTTGTCTTTATACAAGATTTGATTCTCCTTCATCTCTTCAGGAGTGTAATAGCCATCATCGATCTCCTCCTCTTGGTCTATTTGACAGTAACTGATCCCAGAGCCTCTTTCTTTAGTAACCATCTCTTTCTGGGATGGTAGGCTAAGATGGATGTCTTTTGAGCTTCGGCCTAAACAGGTAATGAACTCAACTTACTGTCCCTATAAGAACCCATTTCAAGGTCACTCTGTTCTTCTCGGTAAGAAGTATCTTTAAATATTTTCTTCAAGCGTTTACACAGTTGTGACATTTTCAATTTATTATAATAGTTTCGGGGTTTTGGGGTTTTGGGGTTTTGGGGTTTTGGGG